AAATTTCCCCCCCCCCCCCGTTTTGATAGCACTTACCACATCATATTTGTGATAAACAGCAGAAATCTACATGATCCTAGGATGCCTCCTGGACATTTAAGTCTATTGTTCTCTGCAAGCATTCACACCTTGAGTCCTTTAAGCCACTCAAAATCCAAGTTACAGTTCTTTAGGCTCTAGACACTGTAAGTCCTTTTCATAAGGTTGTTTCAATATGTCTCATCAAATGGCTATAAAATATTCTTATAATCAGATCAAGCAATCAAGATTATATCCAGCTATTCTTGTGTCACGTTTGCCCATTAATTTGTATGTCTCACTGGCTGGCATTTACTCATATCCCATCATACACAGCACTCTGGCTCCCTATGAGTCTAACAGGCTATAAAGAATAAAGAAACTGGTAGGCAAGAAGGTGGGTAAGAAACTGCCTATCACTGGCAGAGATAAGGAATTAAATTGAAAGTAGCTTGCACTCAAGTTTTTTCTAGTATTGGTCTTGACAATGTTTTCATTGAATAATCATGGCACAAGAGCTAGATGTGTACCAATATTAAGAAATGCTGTATAATGGAAAAAATCATTACCAATACCGTAAATCATTATCAAATCCTACTGAGTCATTTTTAACAATGTAACAGTTCAAATTCCCCCCCCTCCCCCTTCATCAGCTTCCTACTTTCAGTACTTCTGAAATTTAGGTGACTTTTAGCAATCATTTTATAATCTTCGATACTATTGAAAGTAAAATATAATGAAGGATTCAAAGCAAAATATTAATTGAATCTAAGTTGAATGTACAATATGGAACTCCAAACTGCTAAATATTTATAAGCCACTTTTTTGTTCTCTAAGCAAGAAGGCACTAGAGAGATGTTAGCAGGCAATGATAGAGATCCTTAGCATTTCAAGATCCTTAACATTTCAATTCCATTTATCACATACAAAAGCAGGAAGGCCTGGAGAAAAATCATCCTAGTTTGATTTTGAACAGCATGTTGCAAAATGATTTTAACCTTTCAGCAAGAGAGTAAGCACAGATATCGTATACATATCCTGAAAAACATGAAAACCCTAACAAGTACCATGTTTTATCTTTTAAGAGATGAAGAGTGACCAGACAATGAGCATAAGGAAACTTGAATAAATATCCACTTAGGTCACTGTTGGAAGTCTGTAACAATGGACAGTACAGGATGACAGAAAAAGAGCATCAGGCCAAGGAAAGTGTACAAGGTGCACCCTCATACGCCCAGTTATCTGTATTTCAGAAGTTTCCTTACCCAAGTATTAGTACTAGAGCTTAAAGATGTTGACCTTTCTTCCATGAACTTTAAATTATAAAATTTCAGCATCCAAAATATTATTTGTTAATGAACTAGCAATTTATTTCCATACTGTGTAAAAGAAAGTTTTTGTTTTAAGCCTGTTGCTTTATCATTTAACTCTGTGTTCTCCAATTCTTCTGTGATGGCGAAATTTCACAACCATTCCCAGTTCACCTCTTTCATTCTACTCAAGTTTTATAACCGTCACCCTCCCTCCAGTCATCTGTTTTCCAGGCTAGACAGACCTAACCTATTTAGATTTTTTTCATGCAGAATTTACATAGCTCTCACCATCCTATCTTTTAAAAAGATTTTTTTAAAAAGAAGGTAATACATTTTAACAAGAAAATACAGAGACACAGGCACATGTTAGATTCCTGTAGCAATATAATGGCATTTCCTATTTTATTTTAAACTTTTAATGTTTGATTTGCCTATTTGCTCACTATAAAGCATTAAAGAGCTATTTTGGAGAAAGGCTTGCAGTTACTTCAGCTAATCCTTTCTTTGGGATACTAACAGCTCAGTTTGAAGCCATTATATTTCCCCACATAAATTATGCATACATACATTTTGCACTTATGTGCATTACTCCATATGTTAATACTGAATTTCACCTCTATTTTACTATCCAGTCCCTTGATATTGCAAAAATCTTTCCACAATGCTTTGTCGTTTTGACCACAGTTAATTTTCTAAAAGTACTAAATCTCAGCTGACTCTCCACTTTGTTCCCTTGGTTTTCACAAGTCACTTATAAGCCCACCTGCCATTTGTTTTTTATCTCACAAGCCTGCCACCACAGGCTATATAGCATAGTTTGAGTTTGGTGGTGATGGTTTTTGGGGTGTTTTTTTTCAGAGCTCTAAATTCAGCATATTGATCACAACACCCACATGCACTACACTGCTGATTCCTTCCAAGAACTCCAACAGACCTGCAAGTCGTGCTTCCCATTGAAATAACCCTTCTTTCCACACTAAAAAAAAACAGTCAGGTCTTGGATCCAAATAAGAAAAAACCTCCTAAGAGCTGCTCTCAATCTAACAAGCAGATATCAAAAGCTGACTGGTACCAGTAGGAAATTTACTTCTTCCATTCACTAGCATTTCAGACCCATGTACAAGCTGCACAGAGTGACTGCTCAGTATGCTGTTCAGTAAAAAATCTGTCAGCTTCAGATTAGTCACCGAATTAAGCTCTGGAAGCATTTCAAGGCTCAAAATTATTTGGAAACTAAGAGAAAGGGGCGCTGTGAACCACACACGCTCCCCCACACCCCACGGCATGATACCCTTTCGTTTCCTTCAGTCAATCTGAGCAAAGGGGAACCACGAGAGACTGAGAAACCGGGAGTGGGGTTGGGGGAACACACGGGCGACACACCAGCACTGCACTCCGAAGCCAGGCCGGCCCTCCCGCGTCCCCTCGCCCCCCGCCGAAGGGAGCGGGCAGGACTCACCGCACAGCATGAAGAGCAGCACGCAGGCCAGGGTGGCTACGATCACCAGCAAGGTCAGCCCGATGCTCTGCCACATGGCGCCGGCCGCCTCCCCCCCGCCGGCAGCGGCAGCAGCAGCGGGGGCTCGTCCTCG